AGCAATGCAGAGAAATCAATATATTTCTTGGTTCTTTAAAAACAAAGCAAAACATGAGCTATTGTTTGAAGAGCGGACTAGATTTTGGCCCCATCTGCACTAAACGTTTAAAGTAGTATCATACTACTTTAAACTATTCCTCTCACAAAGTTGCAGTTCCCAGAGTTTCCTGGGGAAAGGGATCACCTGTTAAGCCACTCTGGAGAATAAAGCGAGATGAGAGCTGCAACCCCGAAGTCGGCCACAACTGGACCTAATGGTCAGGGATCCCTTTACCTTTGCCTTTAACAAACTCTCAGCACCCTTAACAACCTACAGTTCTCAGAATGCTTTGCAGGAAGCCATGACTGCTTAAAGTGTCGTGATGCTGCTTTAAATGTCTAGTGAAGATTGTGCCGAATTCACTGAAGATTCAGTTTATCAGTGGTGACTAGTTGTGATGGCTACAGGCAACCTCCAAGTTCAGTATTGCTATAGCTCTGCCCAACTAGGTGAGCTTCCCTTGTATAGCCTGATAGAAAACTCAGGTGCTGAGTAACGGCAGGTGTGTCAACAAAACAGGACTGTCAAGAAACAAAAGTGAGGTATCTTCATGTATGAGAGAACCTCAAAGTTGGCAGAAGTAGAAATCTATATTAGGAAAAGGAAACACTCCCAACACAGCCCAGTGAGAACTGACTATGCACAATGACCACAAAACATTGAGCATCATTGTTGGGGAAGACAATGACACAGAACACAAGAGAGAGAGGGAGGAGGGAATGGAATCTCCAGAAATGGCGAGTTCGCTGGCTGGAAACGTAAACGTGAGCATGCCACACTGCAATGCTTCCTTGCACTTCTATTGCTCAGAAGCTCTGCCGAAGGTGGATCTTGTGTGTGAACGAGGTGTTTCTCTGCATGGGGCATGGACTGTTGATTTCGCCTTTTGACAGTTGTTTCTTGTGCCGTACAGAACGCCATCCCCTCTCCACCTTCAGAAGCAACTCTGCTTGGGAGCTAGGTCTGTGGTGGGAAATTGGACAGGAGTCAGAACAGCCCTGGTAGTCTCCGTTGGACTATGTTTCTCTGTAACTGTTAATGGGAGGTTCTTAAGTAGCATGTTACTATTTGTGGACCCCTCAGGGAATCCGACAACAAAGTGGAAGCTTTGCAAACTGTTGCTGTTCATAATTTGTGAATGCACTGGTTGGTTGGTTTTTTTGTTTTTTGCAAGAGAAACAACCATTTGCAACAGCTTTTGATATGAACTTGAAAGGGAATCTTTGATTTAAAGCAGAGAACCAACACTTGGGGATGACCGAAATTCCATGTGCTGGGACATCCATTAATAGTTCGTCCAGTGGACACAGAAAAGGGATGTATGATTTAGACAGATTCTAAGTTGGAGAGGAGCAGAGAGATTGTGTGTTTGTGGGGGGAGACTGAGCATCAGGGATCTGAATGTGCCTTCTCCTCACAGAAAGTTCAGTGCTTGGGAGTTCTTAATCAAGATTGTCAGACATTTCCTGCTCCTTTTCAGCCACCAACGGCCAGGCTAGGTGACTCCCTCCTTGCTGCTGAGGGGCGGACCAAGCAGGACTGTGTGATCTGCTGCCCACTGAACCACCTGCAAGTCGTTTTGCTCCAGCTGTAGCCGACCTCATGCAGAAAAGCATCCTAAAAAAGAGCTGGCTCTTGGCCAACGACACTGCTAGGGGTTTGCAGCTTAATTCTTTCGCTGACCTCCTCTTGAGGAGCATAATTCATTAAATACAATGCCATAAAGGCCACAGAGATTAGAAACAGAAGATGCTTTGCCACCAGTGAAGGCAATAACAATGGCCAGTGTGCTTTTGCTAGAAGCATGTTTTGCACAGCAGACAAATACATATTTTGTTGCTGTGATGGGGAATAGCATGGGACAAAAGATCTCTTGCATGTTTGCATACTCGTGATCTACAGGTGCATAGTCCATAAACAGCAGTTTGCATAAATTGATTTTTTTGAAACATTGTGCAAGCCAAAACAAAGCTATACCTTGAAAATCACATTTATCCAGAAGTGGCAATGCCGTTCTCCAACCAAGAAACGTGTACAAAAAAATGTGTATACTAGGGTAAAGTGTACATGTAAATGCATATATTAGTTTAAATTGTTTGGCTGAAAAAAATGCATACAAAAACATGTTAAATTAGGAGAATTTTGTACTGAAAGGATGGTGAAGTTTCATGAGGATTTGTTAGGTACAAAATAGATGGGCTCCACTTGAACCACGTTGGAACTAGACTGTTGGTGGCAGAGTAGCTTTTAAACTGATTGAGGGCGGTGGGAAGCTGATGTAGATAGGGCTGGGTTTCCCTGGACATGACACATCTGGGAATCGGGCTGCAAAATGGAGTCTGGGTGGATTTTTGCTTAATCAGCAAAATGTGCCAGATGTATGGCAAGTAAGGCATTTTTTTAAATTTAAAAAATGCTTTAAAAATCCACCCAAAGTCCCAAAACATCAAGACGTAACTGGGGAGGTGTTCAACAACTTCGGATTTTCACTTTGGGGAATATGGCAACCCTAATAAATACTGGAATCCTAAGCGGCAGCATTCCACAAGGAGTCATTTTGTTGCGGGACCCCCTTGGAGACATAAACTAGAAGTTCATAACTTTCACCTGAGAAGTAATGGATCAAGGGAGTCGTTCAGTTCTGCACAGCCCAGCCCCCCGAAACCTTGCAGCCAATGGAAAACAGGACCACCCATGAGGCAGTTTTGTGCGATTTCTTTTTGCTCCCATCTCCATTTTAAGTCATTTTGGATATCACAGTTCAAAGGAAATTGTCGGCGCAAGAATGCGCTGATGTGCTGGGAGTTCCTCCTGTTTTCTTTCTTTCTTTCACCCCCGCAGTGCAATAATAAGAAGAGCGAGTTTCAGGAAGGCAGCCTGGAATAAGCTCATTCACCATTTCATTATTCGACGTGAGCCAAGTATCTTCATTAAAATGATAAGTCTCTCTAAAAGCTATGGGTGACATGTGACCTTCTAATGCAATGTGGTCCTACTTAGCCTGCAGGAAGATATTAAATGTCAGGACATTTGATTCCATGGATTTGATATTTATGAAGGTCAGCTGAAGTGTGAGTAATATAACATAGTATTCAATTTAAAGTAAGATTTGTGTTCATAAAAATGTGTTGTTGTTTTTTTTAAAAAAAGAACACACACACACACACCTGCTGCGACCACAACTGTGTTAGATTTAATGCGTAGTTTAAGTTTGCAATCCACTGGCAATTAAAAACTGACACAGTATTTCAGTTTAAATGAGGGTTAAAATATTAAGTCTGGCAAGCTTCCAAGGTATAGCCTTAAAAAAAGAGAAAAAAGTATGGAGACATACATTAGGTTGTCCGTGCACATGTTAAACAGGCTGAACACAAGACAAGAGCCTGTCTTCTGTATTTTGGAGATGTACAGAATTTTCCTTTTGAAGATCATATAGGCACAAGTCCAAAATGTTTTAGAGGTTTTCTGGGAAGAGACGGAGAAGTACTTTTCTTTTGAACCTCCTCTACAGTACATCGTGCATTTGCTCTTTCTCCCTCTCCACAGGAGATTTCATTAGCTGCTTTTGGAGAAGTAGAAATAGTCAGAGAGAAATCTAATAATTATGGATGTGAGGGTTCACATTACCCCCACCCGGAGGGCGGCTACATAGGTATGCACTATCCATTAAGATAAAGGTCTAAACCACTGAGCCTCTGGGGCTTGCTGATTGGAAGGTTGGCGGTTCGAATCTCTGTGATGGAGTGAGCTCCCGTTGCTCTGTCCCAGCTCCTGCCAACCTAGCAGTTCGAAAGCATGCCAGTGCAAGTAGATAAATAGATACCGCTGTGGCGGGAAGGTAAACAGCATTTCCGTGTGCTCTTGTTTCCATCATGGTGTTCCATTGCGCCAAAAGCGGTTTAGTCATGCTGGCCACATGGCTGTGACCTGAAAACGAGATGAGCACCAGAACCCCATAGTCTCCTTTGACTGGACTTAACCATCCAAGGGTCCTTTACCTTTTACCTTGCACTATCTATTGATAGGCATAGTTATTTCAGTCTACTCAGTACAGTTATAGGTAGGTAGCCGTGTTGGTCTGCCGTAGTCAAAACAAAATAAAATAAATAAAATTAAATTAAAAATATAAAAATTCCTTCCAGTAGCACCTTAGAGACCAACTAAGTTAGTTATTGGTATGAGCTTTTGTGTGCATGCACACTTCTTCAGATACCAGTACAGGCCAGTGTTGAGCAGTTTAGACCTGGATCTGTATTCAGGTCCCATTTCATTCATGGAGTTAGAATGGACTGAATTGGCTGGGTCCTCTCCCCTCCCTGTTTTGCTCTCCCTGTTTGCTTGAATCCCTGTGATTGTGCTGGTGGATTGACTAGGCTACCTCCCCTCACTCAAGAACCCACTGCACTAACTGTTCTCTATTTCCAACTGCCTGCCAACTGCTTTTCCAACTGCCTTTCCCAACCAACCAACCCACTAAAACCAACCAACTACCCACCAACAACTAACTCAAACCTCGGGCTAAGCCCTTTTATAAATAGGTAGGCTCCGCCTCCGGCTTTCCCATTGTCTACATTTTAACCCTTTCTCTCCCCCCTGTACAGACATTTTCTAAACGAACGGGCAAACGCCACAGTAGCAAATGATTCCTAAATGGAGTGGGATGTAATGGAATGATTGAATGAATCTAATGGGGGAAGCCATTAGCACCTCTCCCTGGGCTCTTCTGCCTTCCTCAGGCAGGAAGGATGAGTTCCCAACATCATCTTCACCCTTTCCACAGTGCATAAGTCAATGTCTGCAGGACAAAGGCCCTGTAAGTCAGCACAGTCAGCTTCTCAAGGATCTGGGACCAATTGCAGTTGAGGCCTTGCCTGCCTACATAATGGTCACAGCTCTTGGCTGAGACATGGTTTTCTGAGCATTAGGGCCCACTGTGAGCTGCCAAGGGCTAGGACTATTACTCCCTAGCTCAGTTGGTTACAGCATGGTGTTGATAACACCAAGGTTACAGGTTCGATCCCTGTAAAGGGTAGCTGCATTTTCTTTGCAGGGAGTTGAACTAGATGATCATCAGAGTTCCTTCCAACACTACAATTCTATGATCCCATGATTTGAACTGCCTTTGCCCAGAACTGACGTGACCTGCTTGCCCTTACCAGCCCTATCCCAAGCAGTAGAACAAGTGCCTGGTTTGATCAGTTGCAGATCGAATGCTGGACTGGATGGATTTTGGTCTAGTCAAGCAAAGCAAATTTTAAATGCTTATGGAAGATCAAACCCATTTTCTTTTAAAGGGATTGGGTAGACAAAGGAGCTAATGTAAGAACACCCATAGTGTGTGAAGTCCAGAGTCCATTAGCCCAGCATTTCATCTTTGATGATATCCATATGTTTCAACGCTTTGTAACAGTGAAAGATATCCATACAGTAATCTCTTTTTTTCTGTGTTCACTGCCAGCGTGCTTCTTGGCTTCACCAGTGCCAAATTAGGAAATGGATCAGAAATTAAATAAGGAAAGAGATACCTGTTCTTGTTGGGATCCATATGTTACACAACGTGTGTGTGTGTGTGTGTGTGTGTGTGTGTGGTGTTTTGGGATTTTTAAAAAAATAATCCTCCAGGATTGTTCCTGCCGGTAAGTTTGTTCGAGCAGCTGTCAGGCAGCACAATCAACATCTGGCCTGTGGGTGTCCAAGCACTGCTGCGTTGCTCTCAAAAGTTCTGTGATATGCAGAGAAAGCCAGTATCTGGAAGCACCTCGGTGTGTTTAACATTTAAGGTTTATTTGAAACACACTGAGGAACCACATCATACAAGATACAGAACAGAGCGGTAGAAATTGGGTATGTTTAGCCTGGAAAAGATGAGACAGAGAGGAGATATAGATAGCCATCTTCAAATATCTGAAGAGTTGTCATGTGGAAGGTGGAGCAAGCTTGTTTTCTCCTGCTCCAAAGGCTAGTACAGTGGTACTTTGGGTTACATATGCTTCGGGTTACATACGCTTCAGGTTACAGACTCTGCTAACCCAGAAATAGTTCCTTGGGTTAAGAACTTTGCTTCAGGATGAGAACAGAAATCGCGAGGTGGCAGCAAGAGGCCCCATTAGCTAAAGTGGTGCTTCAGGTTAAGAACAGTTTCAGGTTAAGAACAGACCTCCAGAACGAATTAAGTACGTAACCTGAGGTACCACTGTACCAAAACCAATGGATTGAAATTACAAGAAAGGAGATTCTGACTAAACACCAGGAAGAACGTTTTGACAGTAAGAGCTGTCACAGTGGATCGGAAGCCCTTGGGAGATATGGACTCTCCTACACTGGAGATTTTAAAGCTGATGTTGGATGGCCATCTGTCATGGATGCTTTAGTTGAGATTCCTGCATTGCAACTTTACAATTCTAGGATTCTATGAATTTTTTTTGGTGGTTTTTTAAGTGCTTTCCACACAAATTAAGCAAACTAGCACCACAGAGAAAGGACTGCACGAAACTCTTTTCCTTGGTGTGTGAGTTTAGTAGGTGCAGGGAGATTTTTTTCCCCTGGAGGCAATGTGATATGATGTCCCAAGTCTACATGTTGTATACAGTCTAGTACTGTACAACCTTTCTTTCCTACCTTCCCCCATCCCCAGGATTCTGTGTAAAGTTGATGACCTGAATAGCTGCTGATATATCGCCGAAGAATTGATGCTTTTGAATTATGGTGCTGGAGGAGACTCTTGAGAGTCCCATGGACTGCAAGAAGATCAAACCTATCCATTCTTAAGGAAATCAGCCCTGAGTGCTCACTGGAAGGACAGATCCTGAAGCTGAGGCTTCAATACTTTGGCCACCTCATGAGAAGAGAAGACTCCATGGAAAAGACCCTGATGCTAGGAAAGATGGAGGGCACAAGGAGAAGAGGACAACAGAGGATGAGATGGTTGGACAATGTTCTCGAAGCTACCAGCATGAGTTTGACCAAACTGCAGGAGGCAGTGGAAGACAGGAGTGCCTGGTGTGCTCTGGTCCATGGGGTCATGAAGGGTCGGACACGACTAAACGACTAAACAACAACAACAACAAATATCCTTTTCACCCCATGATGCTCCATATCTTCAACTTGGAAAACTGGTACAGTATACAATTGTATACTGTAAACCATTCCGTGGTCCTTGGATGAAGGGTGATAAACAGTGGTACCTTGGGTTACAAACTTTGTTCCGGAGGTTCATTCTTAACCCAAAACCGTTCTTAACCTGAGGCACACTTTCATGCTGGCACGTGATTTCCATTCTCATCCTGGGGCAAAGTTCTCAACCCAAGGTACTACTTCCGGGTTAGTGGAGTTTGTAACCCGAAATGTTTGTAACCTGAAGCGTTTGTAACCTGAGGTACCACTGTATAAATTAATACATAAATAGAGGGGGTGGCGCCTAGGAGAGGTGAACAGGAGACTCAAAGGACCTCAGCCCATCTCTGGCCTTTTTTAAAGCAAGTTGCTCACTTGGAGCTCTCCGTGGTGCTGCAACACTTGCCCTGCCTTCCTTGTTCCCATGGATTCCTTTGCTAGACCAGAACTGGATGGCATGTGTGAGTGTGCATGTGCACATGAGAGGGAGAGAAATAAAAAACTTGCTCAAGGCCACTTAGTGGGCCCACAGCAGAGGCAAGATTCAAACTCGATACCTCCTGATTCACACCTCAGTCTCTTAACCACTTTGCTACACCAGTTGAAATAGTCGTTAATAAGACACAGAATTTTAAAAGCTAAGGAAAACAAATAAGTCTTTGTCTACCACAGGAACTTCCCAACCGTGGTCTATGGACCGCCAATTGACTGCAAGTTTCTTTCCAGTGGTCCATGGCCCACTTTAAACATTCACATTGATTTTTTTAAATGTAATTTTATTGCTTCTCTTATCCCTTGTATTACATTCTGAATTCAATGGAATTCAAATTGTAACTAATATAATATAAGAAATAAGAGAAGCAATGGAAATTTAATTTAAAACAATGCAGCATCTAACGCAGCACATTACAATAGCTACAACAGGCAGGGGAATCATTAAATGGTCCACCAAGAACATAAGAAATGTTCAAGTGGTTTGTGAGGTGCGGTGGAGGGAGTCCAGAAACCACTAGCCCAACACCAAAAAGACAGAGTGAGCATTGTGTGAGCCTCTGTGGGGGATGATTTGTATAAGGGGATGTCACTACCAACAACAACAACACCCTCTCTCTAGTTGCCACTCACCTCACCCCAGGTGGTAGAATCCTCCTGAGGAGAACTTCTCCCAATGATTTCAGCAAACCGGCAGGTGGTTTAGGGGACAGTTGTGTCTCCAGTTTACCCAGTTTATCCCAAGCCACATGAGGCATTAAAGGGAAGCACCAAGTTGTGACTTGTGCATTAAGCATCAATGTAATAGGATTCCAATTTCTGGTCCTAGTTAGTAGCTACCATAGTCTCAATTAACTGCAGTTTCTTTAAAGGCAATTCCACATTACATTACAGTAGTTGATCTTAGGTGTTACTAGCTAGAGCAAGGATAGCCAGCATGATGGCTTCTGGATGTTATTGCCAAATCTGGCTAAGGCTTATGGAACTTGGATGCCAACAGCATCTGAAGAATACCATGTTGACTACGCCTAAACTAGGCCACGGATTAGTGTATTAGTCTACTTCCTGCTAATACAGCTGCCCACCCCATGTGATGGAAGAACGAAAGATAACACTGTGCATGTTGAGTGTGCCATGGCACTCACTACTCTAAACATTTGCAACATCTAGAAGCCCAGTTGATATTCAATGTTGGATCACAGTCCAGTCATTGGGAAGCACACACAGAGCAAGGAAATGTAACTCATGTTTCATAACTTCACATGTTGTATCTTGAACATCTGGAAGATGTCAGCGAAGACGGATTCATCCTGGCTGTAACTGCATCTTGCTTACCAAGTTTCTATTTAAAAATAAATGAATTGGGAGGCAGTCTTTCTTTATGATTCACCTCTCTTAAAGATGACAACAGAGCTCTCCTAGCTGATAATGGGCTATCATATGATGGAACAAGATGTTCATTTATTGTTCTAATGTATGCTATAAAATAACAATTCTCAGCCTTCATATAGAACAGTTTTGCATGTCCAAAGTACTTTGGAGGAATGGTTTCAATGATCCCAAAATAATTATGCAAAATAGGTTGGTGATATTATTCCCATGTTACTGATAAAGGGGTGGGGCTACAGCCAAGTGGTACAATGACTTGACCGAGGTCATGAAACAAGTTCAGGAAATTTTAAACCAGGAACTCCATAGCTCAAATATGAGTCAAACTGCAAGCTCTCAATTGTCAGGCGTTCGTCCTACACTCGAATAGGACCCAGGCAGAGACACATGCCCAACTGGCATGTTCCCTCCCTCCTGGTCGATCGTTCTGGAGGTTCAAAAGCTTTCTTCAGCCCAAACATCACAGCGACCGATGCCAACAGACACTGGCACACTTAGGGATCCGCAGAGTCTTCGCAGCTTGCGTGACAGACATCAGCAACTCAGCATTTTGGCTAATCTACTTTATATACATATCAACACACACGGAACACTGCAACATGGCTCCCTCTCTCTCTAGCATCAGACAGCAACGAGAAAAAACAATGGACAATAGTCCCACTTCATGGAACACAGTAACACAAACACCCTGTCTCTGACACTTCCCACTCTGTGGAGTCAAAACATATACCATCATGTGATAGACAACAATCCCATGACTGCAATCATGGAGCAGGAATTCTAACACCAATAAGTATTAAAGTGAGTGGTGGTGGCTGTAGGAACAGAGACTTGCCTAGTGAAAAGGTGGGTAATCTGGTGCCCTCCAGATCTTGTTGGACTCCAACTCCCATCAGCCCCTAGTGGCATGGCCAATGGTCAGATGAAATGGGAGTTGTAGTCGCCTGACATCTGGGCAGCCAATGATCATTGGAACCAGATATTTCCCAGCTTAAACATATTGCCATTGCGCCAGCTCTGGTTACTTTTGAATAGAAAGGCAAAATGTTTCTACAGAGAGAGAGAGAGAGAGAGAGAGAGAGAGAGAGAAACCTATTATTGTGCTGGAAAAAAGCAGATGAAGACAATTCAGAGGCAGGAAAATTGTACATCAATACATTCTGAACACTCTAATATCAAAGGAAAATGGCTTTTCTGTCATGTTTCCTGACACAAAGAACAAGGAAAATGAGCACATATTGTATTGTGTGTTGCTGAAGCTGGTAACGGGCTTGTTATTCATGATGGTGATGGGGCTTGCTATTGTTTCATTAATAAGCAATTTCCTAGATTTCTACCAGCTGCACTTGAATGCGTACAAGCAATCTTGCCTGTAATTTAACTTCATTTTTTGAAAGGGGTAAAATGAAACTCTTTTTTTAAAAAAAATCACAGTTACTTCTGTTTTAACAGCTTGCAGTCAAGGACACAAGATCCCCCACCCCAACCTGGTGTTTTTTTTCCTTTTAAAATTTATTTTATAGCTTTAAAAGGATTTCTGTAATTTGCAGTCTTTACTCTGATGTGTGGGAGAAGACAAGGGAAGCATTTCCTCCAGAAAAGCCATGTGCTGCCTTTCAAAGGGAGAAAGATGGATATTAGCTTGGTACATGTGTGCTTTCCCCACTTTTGAGCTTTGCACAATGTTTGACCATTTTAATGGAAAGAGTTTCTTTGGGTTCTGCAAACTATGAAGTTTTCCTGCGCAAGCCCCATTGAAAAGGGATATGGGCAGTGAAACATGCTCATTCATTTCCATGCCATTCTCTTCCATGGCTCCTGAATTCATTTCATGAGGACTTGTGCAGGGTAATCTCCTGGTGCACAATGTCCACTTGAGAGTTCAACAAACAATTTTCAACCTCTTGCCATTTGGTGCAAAGATAAATAAAGAAAAAGAAAAAAAGAAAAGAAAGACAAAGATTGAGGTTTTTAATATCAGTTCCCATTGTTCCTCTGTCAGCCAGGCAGCAATTGTATATAACTGAAAGACATCCAGTTGATAAAAAGAACATATTTTTTACTGGCGGCAGAGTAACATGAGTTCAAAGGCTGCACATGCCAAGAGTGCATAACTCTGTAATGGCCGACATACTTTTACAAGTGTTTAGTGGTATTACTGACAGGAGGACTGCTTTGGTCCAAGACAGATGTAAAATACTTCATTTACCAAATATTTACTCCACAATTATCTGTAAACGTAGAACGTACAACTTGACATGGTCAAATATCTAAAGAACCTGCTTAAAGGGAATTATTCCCACATAATTGTCCAAAAGAATAATTTTAGGGGAGGTGTTGTTAGTAATAGGTTCCCATATTTCACACCTCCTGAACAGTAATTCAAGTTTGTATCCACTGCAAGTCCTGGCTTAGGGAGAGAATGGTGGCTGTTTGAATAGAACTGATGGTTATGTGGTTACCTCAGTCATCTTTCAGTTCTATACAACTAAGATTGTAACTGCCCCCTTTTTATTATAAAAATAACTTATTATTAATTAAATATTTCAAATCTCATATCTGGCCAGATGGGTGGGGTATTAATAATTATACACACATACGCAAACACACACACACACAAATATTCTGGGGCAAATTCTCCTTCATTAAGGATACGAAAGGAGATCTGGGAGCATAGATTTCTCAACCTTCAACTTTTGTTGAGCTCTTTTGCCATTGGGTCATCGCTTCTCATTCCTATTTATGACAAATTGCTGTAAATATAGTCTACTTTCCTAGTGCAATGAGTACAGCACAATACTGGGCATATGTGCTCAGCTGAAGGTGCTAGTAAGTGTCGTGGAACTTTCCTCCAGGTAGAAATACTGTAGGTGAATACGGCTATTTGGTTTTCCAAGCTTCTCATTTTTTCAACATTAAAATCAGTTCACTACATTTGTTCAGCCATCTGCATTCAAAACAAAACTCATGAAAATTCATCATAGCACCTTCATGTGAAAATTTTCCAATAAATGATATATATATTTTTGGTATGCTAATATACACATTTTATTAATTTGTGAATTGCCTCCATTCAGTTTCTGTCTTGTTTTGGGATGAATGAAGCAGGAAGGTTCACAAACTAAATTTATTTCCCAGCCCTGCTCAGCGAGTTACAATTCCCAGAGTTGCCTGGGAAAGAGGGATGGATTTTTTAAAACTACTCCAGAAATTATGGTTCTGTGAGGGCTCCTAACAACTCTCAGCACCCTTCGCAAACTAGTTCCAAAGATTATTTGGGAAAAGCCATGATTGTTTGGAGGGGAGTGGTTCATGGAGGATAGAGTTACAAGTCATGCTCTCCCCCCTACAGAAGAAGAATTTGGATTTGATATCCCGCTTTAGCACTACCCTAAGTAGTCTCAAAGCGGCTAACAATCTCCTTTCCCTTCTTTCCCTACAACAAATGCTCTGTGAGATGAGTGAGGCTGAGAGACTTCAGAGAAGCCCAAGGTCTCCCAGCAGCTGCATGTGGAGGAGCGGGGAAGCGAACCCGGTTCACCAGATTACAAGTCTACCGCTCTTAACCACTACACCACACTGGCTCTACAGTTGGAGGTAGTACATAATGCCTCCGAATACCAGTTCCTGGAAACCGCAGGAGGGGTTTCTTGTACTCCTGTCCTGCTTGTGAGTTTCTGGTTGGCCACTGTGAGAACAGGATGTTAGCCTAATGGGAAATTGGCCCGATCCATCAGCCTCTTCCTATGTTCTCAAGTGGTATGTTACTGTTTTAACTACATCGTGCACATGTGGCCAGATATAGCCCCCAGGGAGAAGATGCACACAGACAGTCCAGCAACCAAAACAGGGACCTTTTTTTTGAAAAAAGACCACAAGCTCTTCCGCTGAGCTACAGTAACGGTTCACTTGGTCAATAATGTCATGCCAACAAAGAGAGTAACTTTGGGAACCGGCAGCCACCATGTAATTGCAAATTCCAATTTGATGTCAAAGACTCTCACTGATAAATTCCATGCCCTAGTTGCATAAAACAGTGATGAAAATGTTAGAAGAGGCCTTGGAAAGCCTAAAAAGGAGTGTTATTTTTGCAACAGTGGGAATGAACAAACGCAAAGGCTATGTCGTTTTCAACACAGCCCTGGTAAGGCTTTTCCGAACCAGACCACACAGTGAGTTCACAGATGAATTCTGATATACATCCCAATGTCCTCTTGGACATTCTAGTAGTCATATTTCTGTTCATTTTATCTGCACATAAATATGTTTTGTAGGAGTTATTGGGTGATTTTCCACCATTTCATTTCTCTGATCAGGGTCTTATGCCAGGAGAGAGATTCTAAGTACCTTTCTTTCTCATGGCACTTTCTGAAACTGTTCAAACAATATGTCCTCAAGCGTAAGAGAACCTAGAATGCAAATTAGTTGGAATAGCTGCATAAATATTGTTTACAATTCTTGGTTTCCTTGAGAACATAAAACATTTGTCCGGCAGCAAGAAATACCCACAGACATCTAGGTACTTAATACATTTGCTCATCTATTAAATCACAGGCACATATGGGGGTTAAGAAATACCCCTTATATTTGGGTGTCTGAATGTGGCATGAGTCAGTCATGTATCTTGCAAATATTACAGCCACACCAATGGGTTGGTTTCATTGGGAAGCTAGGAAGTCCGCTTTGCTTCCTGTGACATGGTGCCAGAAATCAGGTTTTAAATGCATACATTCCTAACAAGAATGTATGCATTCTTACAGCCACTGTCAAGAACCTAGTGACTAAACTGTAAAATGGCATAATTCATACAGCTCTTCTCTGTATCCAGGCATGCCAGGTGATGGGGGCTGAGGGGTCTTCAGCTCCCCCCATTTTTTCAAGGAGGGGGCTGGGCTCCCCCCAAATCCTGTGGCCCCCACTCTGCCTCCTCTTCCCGCCTACTACTACTACTACTACTACTACTACTACTACTACTAATTTATTATTTATACCCCGCCCATCTGGCTGGGCTTCCCCAGCCACACTGGGCGGCCTCCAACAAAATATTAAAATACCGTAATACATCAAACATTAAAAGCTTCCCTAAGCAGGGCTGCCTTCAGATGTCTTCTAAAAGTCTGGTAGTTGTTTTTCTCTTTGACATCTGGTGGGAGGGCATTCCACAGGGAGGGTGCCACTACCGAGAAGGCCTTCTGTCTGGTTCCCTGTAACTTGGCTTCTCGCAGTGAGGGAACTGCCAGAAGGCCCTTGGCGCTGGACCACAGTGTCCGATGTCACACAGGGAGAAGGAGGCTGAGCGTGGAGCTCTGCATTCCCCATTCATGACCTGGCACATGAGCGCTCGTGGGCTAGGTGGGGGAGGGATGTGTCACATTATGTGTTATGTGATGCGCCCCTGCAATGTGAGGGGCAAGTCATTGCCCTTGCCTATATCTCAGAGGATTCTGAGGCATAGGCAAACTGGGCCCTCCAGATGTTTTGGGACTACAACTCCCATCATCCCTAGCTAACAGGACCAGTGGTCAGGGGTGATGGGAGTTGTAGTCCCAAAACATCTGGAGGGCCCAGTTTGCCTATGCCTGCTCTAGAACCTTGCATGTATTGAGATCAGTGCTATCTCCAGGGTTTGGGGAGCCTTCAAGCATTGTACCCTCAATGGATGCCCTAACTTGGAAAAGTTGGGGCATGCAAACTGAGAATTCTCTAAGGCCAAATCTTAGATGCTCTCTGCAAATTGGAAATGATTGCATTGTTAGGTTGGCGGGGCCTTCTGCTGGTCTTGGAGACCTGACAAATTCCTAACCTTCTGATTTTTTGGCATTGGCCTAAATTGACATTGAGCTCTGCATCTGGTGAACCAAACACCTTTTATAAGAACTTGCCCACCACTCAGTTTCACAGTTTCTGACTGTGAACTCCAGGGAACCACATGGTTCTTAGAAACATAGTGTCAAAACCACTGTTTTAGCTCTTCCCCTCCATGTGCATGGGAAAATGTCCAGAGCACAAATTTGCCTTGTGCAACAAAAATCCATTCATCTCATTCATAAAATATTTGGAGCTTGTTCATATCGTATACATTTCTAACATCACTGACCAGCAGACAATTCCTTCCCCCTCCAACTGACACGATAACAGTCTTTGGATCTGCTTAGTAACACCCCGTCCTGAATAAACACAAAGGTGAAGTTGCACACTTTAACGTCAAAGATTTTCTGTTTGTTTTGCTGTGTGCAAGAGACTGGGAGGGAAACAGATACCATTTAAAGATGAAAAGCAGAGTAGAAATAAAGTCTACTTGAACCCAAAAATAGTTATACGCACAGAACTTATAAAAACATTCCTAAGCAATGTAGTGTGATGACCCTTATTCATAATCACAGCAAATCTATCCAACTTTTTGATTTTTTAATAACCCCATCATTAATCTTTGTTGAAAATAATAGAGATTTTATGAAGAAGGTTCACCAAAGAACTTGGAAAACTTACAAGACATTTAACAGCTGAACAGTGTATCTTTCAAGCAGCCTTTAAGGGTGCTCTTTCAAAATAAAGCCTTTTTGATCTAGTTTTATAGTCTGGAGTTGCTTTGGTCTAAAACCTCATCTATCCTTTCCAACTAATAAGGAAATTGTCCTGCAATGCAGAACTCCCAGGACCCAGAGAGAAGCCATTTCTACACACATTGGTATTATTCTTGTGCTATCGACATTGGATTTATTGGTTCTTTGAGGGCATCTTGTTTTAACAGATGGATTTTTGTGTGTTGTCTTTAAAATGACATTAACAACTAACATTGCTCGGTTCTGTGTGCAAGCCTGCTACGAAAAGGGGGGGGGGATCATTTTTATAAGAGTTGGACAATGTTTCTTCCTATAACTTTAATCTGGATTTCCTTTCTGATAAAGAACTGCTTGT